GCAGGGCTATTTTCTGATAATCTGTTCACAAAATGGTTGAGAAAGGTGCTTGTTTTTGGGTTTTGGTGGGGTTTTTTTTTGCATTTTACTGTTTGTGAAAACATTTTTGTCTAGCATAGGCTGCCTTGAGCAATACATGACTCCCTGGCGCCCTCACCATCCCCCGGGAAACAAGAGCTCGGGGCGGGAGGAAGAAGCCGCCGGGCTCTCCTAATCCAGTCAGAGCAGTTCTGTGAGAACAGCATCATCAAGCTCCTAAGGTGAAGTGGGAACAGCCAGCCTGGAAGGGCAAAGAATTCACCTGTCTTCCGGACGATCTGTTCTTTGGCTTGAGTGAACCATCCAAGGAGAACTGTGACGGTGCTGTCCTGCGCGGGTCACGGGAGCAGGCAGCACGTGATCACTGGCGCTAAATCACTGTGCATGCTCTTTACTTCTTGTTTTCTTTCTTTTTTTTTTTTTTTTTTGAGACAGAGTCTCGCTTTGTTGCCTAGGCTAGAGTGAGTGCCGTGGCGTCAGCCTAGCTCACAGCAACCTCAATCTCCTGGGCTCAAGCAATCCTGTTGCCTCAGCCTCCCAAGTAGCTGGGACTACAGGCATGCGCCACCACGCCCAGCTAACTTTTTCTATATATATTAGTTGGCCAATTAATTTGTTTCTATTTATAGTAGAGACAGGGTCTCGCTCTTGCTCAGGCTGGTTTCGAACTCCTGACCTCGAGCAATCCGCCCGCCTCGGCCTCCCAGAGTGCTAGGATTACAGGCGTGAGCCACCGCGCCCGGCCTACTTCTTGTTTTCAACAGGGTCTACAGTTGCTTTGGAGGACAGGTGGCATTAAAGTTAGGAGTGAAGTTACTTTGATATTGGTGAGGGATTCTCTGTTCTTCACATTGTACCAGAGTCGCATCTAAGGGGAAATATCCAATTCTTCCTTAGAGAAGTTGGCACCTCCTCTGAACCATCTCATTTCTAAAAGCAGCATGTAAGAAGTATGGGCTCCAGAATCAGACTGCTGGGAATTCGGTCATGACTGTTAAGTTATTAGCTGTGCCCTTGGGCAAGTTACTTAACTTGTACCTTGGTATCATTTTCTGTAAAAGGATAACGATAACCATGGTGTCTCCTTTATAGGGTTGTGGTGAAGCTTAAATAAGTTAGTATCTGCAGGATGCTTAGAAGAGTGTTTGGCTCATAGAAAAGGTGCTCAATAACCTAGCATTATCACTATTTGTCTTGATTTTCATAGGAGAATTTAGTAGTGTCGTTGACTTCTTTCTCTTCCTGGAGCATACTTTGAACCCACCTTCAAGTGTTGTATTTTCTCCCTTTGCGATGTTTTTATTTTTATTCTTATTTTGCCATTCTAAACCTGTTCCTTGTTGCTTTCTAGTTCTTCCTAATTTCTATCTCTCTGTTTCTCAACTTATCCAGAAATTTCTTGCCAGCCAAACCTGAAAACTGCTTTTATTTTATTATGCGGTGTGACCTTAGACAAGTTACTTTCCTCTCTGGGCCTCAAACTCCTTATCTAAGATGATGGGTTTAGAATAGATGCTCTCTGGCCAAGTGGTCATGGTACTGTCCCTTAAACACTCTGGAAGCGTCCAACACCCCCTAGCCTGGCGCTCCAAGCACTAACAAGACCCTGCGCTGCTTGGCTTCTGAGATCAGACGAGATTGGGCACTTTCAGGGTGGTGTGGCTGTAGATTGCCCCTTTTCTAATAAAAGATATTCCCTGTTCCCAGTAGGAGTCTGGTTCTTGAAAAAATCTGTTTTCCTCACTCTTCCTTGACAGTACCATGTCCGTCTTCACTTTGGGCCATGCGCCCAGGCTCTCTCCTCTTACAGGGAAGACTTCTTTATTCTGTTCAGCTTGTTTCTGTCTTAGCCAACTCTGTAGGTCCAACTCAAGTTCAACCTCTTCCATGAACCTGTCCCTAATTCTCCAGCCCTAACTGATCTTTATTGAACTCTTCACAGCACTCAACCCAAGGATTGAGATATGCTGCCTTATTTCCTATATTAATTTTTTCACCCAACTAATTTATAATTTCTATAATTCAGGGATCATAAACAGCTTACACCCCCACCAACAGAGCGAGAGAGCTCTCATTTCCCTTATCCTCACAAATACCTGAAATTATTTGACTCCAAATGTCAGCAATATGGTGCGTGTAGAGTGGTATCTTGCTTTAATTTGCCTCCTCTCATTACTTGTGAGGCTGGGCATATTTTTCATGGGTTCTTCTCTCTATATAAATTACTGATTCATATCTTTTGTCTATTCTAAAATTTCATTTTCTTTTTCTTGTGAATTTGGGGGGTATATATATTCTATACAGTAATGTTACATCAGCATAGCTATTACAAATGCTTTCTTCCAGTTTGGTGTTCATTAGTTAAATTTGTATATAACACCTTCCCTGAATAGAATGATTTAATTTTGATAGTCAAAACCCTTATGGTTGTGCTTATGTGATCTTAAGAAGTCCTTTCCAAACCCAAGGCAGCAAAGTTACAATTTTTAGTGGAATAGAAAGTGATAAGGTGATGCTCCATTTTCTCAATGAGAATATTTTAAAAGTTTTTTTTCCAACTTCAATTTATAAAGTTTTAGGAATATAGAAGTTATGGGGAAATAGTCAAATGTCTGCTAATTACATTTATTTAGTTAGTAACTCACAAATTTAAAATCACTTTTTTTAAACATTGTAATGAGGGCATATTGCTGTTTCCACCCCACGTTTCATAAATCAATTTTATTCCAATTCCCATACATTTATTAACTGAGATCATTTTAGGGTAATGTATCTTCTCCAAACAACTCTGACAGCATGCCCATAATTTGGAAAAAAATAAGGTCTTATACATAAGATATTTCCCTATTTTCTGATGAATAATTTTGGGTAAAAAAGCTTTGCTTTATATTTATGTGGCCATATAATATTCCATTATGTTTTCTTCTATTAGTATTATTGTATCTGTTCACATTTAGATCTTTATTGATCTGAAAATTTTCTATATGGTGTAAGGATACAACTTTATTTTCCCTCAAAATAGTAAATTGATCTTGTGAATACCATTTACCAAAATTCCATTTTTATCCAAGGGTTTTATACCAAGCCTCCTTGTGTGCATAGATTTGTCTCTGGATTATTCCGTTCCACTGATTTGTTACTTCGTATGTCAAAATCACATTGGTTAGTTATTTTGTCTTTTAAATATGTGTTATTAATACTATTTGGTAGGACTAGTCTCCATTTCTTTACCATCCCACCTCCACCATTTTGCTTTTCTTTACCAAAATTGTCTAAGATACTCACAGACTTTATTTCCATGTACATTTTAGAATCGGTTTGTCAAATTCTCCCCAAATCCTGCCATGATTTTGGTTGGGGCAGCATTTAGGCTATAGTGGGGAGAGAGTGTTATTATGTCAGGATGGCCCAGCCATGACTATAGCATATCTCTCTACTTCTCAGTTCTTCAGTTATGTACTTTAATAAAATTTTCTTTTTTTCATAAAGTTCTTATATTTTCATATGTTAATTCCTAAACATGCTATGGTTTTCCTTGCTATTATAAATGGTAGAAAATTTTCAATCATTTTTTAAATTGATTATTAGGAATATAGGATTTAGAGTTATAAATCCTGAGTTCAAGTTATGGTTCTGTTACTTAGTATCTGGGTAAATCTGAGCAACCACTTAGCCTCCCTCTGCCTCCATTCTGTCATGGGTAAAATGGAGATCATGTTCTTTAGGAGTTGTGGCGGCAAATCAGGTAGACTATCCCCTAGCAGTTCGAGTAATTTGGCTGCAGGATAGAAGGATGGTGAACTAGCTCTGGCGGCTGCAACCCAGGGGTCAGAGTTTAGTTCTAGAGCAGTGAATCCTGATGGGGGGGAGTGTGTGGGTGGAGGTGATGTAGGGGTGGGGGAGACTGGGATAGACTGGGCAAGTGACACAATCCTGGCAGGGTGCAGGTGGTGTAGTTTTGAAAAGACACTGAAGGAAGTTACAATGTGGTCTCATGCTACTGGTTTTAGATTACAAATGATTGGTTGAGCAATTTTTGTGTTTATAAAATGGAGGCTTGAGTTAAAGCCATCTGTCTAGAAGAGGAACCTAAGAACTTACATGAAGCAACTTTAGGAAGTGCCTAAAGAGACTTATTATGATGGCCGTACTCAGAAAAAGCAAGAGACCACTTTGGGACTTCCTTCAGCGTGCGATGCCTGTGATGCCTGTGACGTTATAGCAGCTTGTTTTGTTTCAGCCAGTCCAGGCTCTTCGTCGGACCCCTCCTCCCCAGTAGCGCCTCCCCGCCTCGCCAAGCCTGTGGGGCCCCATACCGGGTCTGTGCTGCGGACTGCCTCCTTCCCCCTATGAACCCAGCCCAGACGTCGGCTCACCTGCAGGCCCTCTCAGTTGAGAGGACTCCCTGTCCACCGCCAACAATGATTTCTCTTCTAAGTCCTCTGGCCTTATTGCTTACTTGCTTTCATATAAAGTCTTCTCTTCAAAAGTGTTTGTTCTCACTCCCCAACTGACCAACAAGTGAAGTGATGTGGGGACGGAGTCCGTATCTCCTAGCTCTGGTATTCCCTGAAATGCTTTGCACACAAGCACGGACAAGACCACTGCAGGCCTGTGGCCAGGCTAAGGGAAGAGGCGTGGGAGGAGGGCTCGCTCTCTGGGCAGCTGCGTAGTGGCGGTGAAAGAAAGACGGCGTACCTTCTTCAGTCCTAGTGCTGCGCGGCCAACTACGGGCAGGGCGGCTGAAATATTCTTTTGAGCTGGCTGGAGGCAGAGAGACAGACCCGTATCGGTAAAAATAGTACGGCCAGGAGGAGGAGAGGAAGGAAAAAATTGCTTTGCTGAGCACAGGTCTCTGGGTTTTCTGTCCTGCTTTATTCTAAAAAACCCCTCAGACTTCACATTAATAGAGAAGTGAAACCTTCCCCTGCCGTCTCCTGCTGCAGCCTCGCAGAAGCTTTCACATCTCCTTTGGCTGCCAGGGCAGAGGGCTGGACGCGAGAGGGAACTCCGTGCGGCGCCACTGGCTCTGGCTAGGGCCTCGCCCGGGCTGGCACAGGACCACACGCCGCGTGCTGCCATGCCCGGGCTGGGCTGCGTAGACATTGAAAGGGAGCCCCAAACCCGGGTCCTGCACAGTGAGGCTCACCGCTTGTCTGGGCAGAATGGGGAGGAATGTGAGGGGGAATTTTGTCGGGGTGCGCCTGTGTAGAGAATTCATAGAGTTTTGAAACTGTCAAAAGAGAAAGTGAAAGAGACAGTGGTTCTCAGAGCGGAAGGAACTCTGAGAACAGGAAAGATAAGTCTCGAATGGATTGTGGCTCTTCTTTTTCTCCTTTTCCCAGCAAAGGCTCCACTAAATCCCTTTATTTGGGCCATCCCAGTCTCAAGATGTAGTGAGTTGTGTGGGCATGCTCAAGAGTGTGTGTGTATGTGTGTGTGTGTGTGTGTGTGTGTGTGTAGGAGTTATATGAGGAGTTAAAACCTCTAGATCTTGGGTGTGAATTACTGGATCTGTTTTTTTTTTTTTAATTGAGACAAAGTCTTGCTCTGTTGCCTAGGCTAGAGTGCCGTGGCATCAGCCTAGGCTCACAGCAACCTCAAACTCCTGGGCACAAATGATCCTCCTGCCTCAGCCTCTCAAGTAGCTGGGACTACAGACATGTGTCACCATGCTTGGCTAATTTTATATATATATGTTTTAGTTGTCCAGCTAATTTGTTTCTATTTTTGGTAGAGACTGGGTTTTGCTCTTGCTCAGGCTGGTCTCGAACTCCTGAGCTCAAACGATCCACCTGCCTCAGCCTCCCAGAGTGCTAGGATTCCAGGCATGAGCCACTGCGCCCGGTCTGGACCTGTTTTTGAACTTGTAAAATAGGAAAACTAACAAGTCATTTAAGGCCACACTTGCACAGTGGCTCACTCCTGGAATCCCAGCACTCTGGGAGGCCAAGGTGGGAGGAGCTCAGGAGTTTGAGACCAACCTGAATAAGAGCCAGACCCCGTTTGAAAAATTAGCCGGGAATCGTGGCATGCACCTGTGGTCCCAGCTACTTGGGAGGCTGAAGCCAGAAGATCACTTGAGTACAGGAGTCTGAGGTTGCTGTGAGCTATGATGACGACACTGTACTCTACCCAGGGTGACAGAGGAAGACTCTGTCTCAAAAACCAAACAAGCAAACAAAAACAAGTCATTTAAGATTAAGGGAGATAACATATAAAGGAGCTACTTATTATAATACCTGTTACAAAGTAGAAGCTCTACAATTTTGGATTCCCCACCCCATGTTCTGCCCATTCTGAAACACTTGAAGCTTCATTAGCAGAGTTAGAGTATATAACCAAAGTGGGGGCGTAGGGGCTGGGAGATACGGGGAGAGATTCGGTTAATCTCAATTATTAAATAGTTACATAAAACAAGTCTTTGTTTCTGATATTGATCTTTGTATTTATTTTTTTGTACATGCATTTTTTCCTTCCCGTTTTCTTCATAAATATCAGATTCTCCTGGGGTCACGGACTTTGGGGGAGGACAGGTAAGTGTGGTGTCAAGGGGTTCCCTCTTCATCCTTTTCTGTTTAGTTCACTGTTACATCAAATCCAGTAGCTTCCAGAAACTAAGAGGAGGAGAGGCAGCCCTGAAGCCTATTGAGGAGCAGAGGGAAGTCAATTTAGGGTTTTAAGTTAGTGATAGAAAAAGTTAGTGTATGGTTCACAATGGGATGGAAGAATGAATGCCATTTAAAACTTGTCTTTTCCAGAGGAAGAAAAGTTGGGAAGCTCTATCTCATTTTTCTAGTGGCTTCATAATGCAGGGACCTGCCCCGGGACAAAGGGGACCACAGGAGAAACACAGTGGGGAGCTTAGAGTTTGGGGGAAGGAGGTGAACTGTCACTGGCCCATCACCAGCTATTTTTCAGGGGTTTAAGTGGAGTTACCTTGTGGTCTGCACCTGAGATCACTCACAGCGTGGGAGGGTATGGTTTCCTGGCTTCAGAAAGCAGCTGTTTCAGCTGAGGAGGAAATGAAGCTTGACAGGCTAGAACAGAAGTAGCAGGGGAGGCTCGTGGAGGGATTTCCAGGCTGCTGTGCCTGACCTCTAAGGTGGAACTGCCTCCCTCATTCTGCAGACCTGCTCCGAGACCAGGTGACTCTGTACTGTCTGTGCCTCCTTCCTTCTCAGCAGCCTGGCCTCTGCCACCTGCCCAGGAGGGCTCCGTGTCCTCCCATCTCCTGGGTGGCAGGACAGACCAAGGGTTTATACAATGTCTTCCTAGGTAACCTCCTTTGAAAGAACAGGAGAGGTTATCTAGTCCTAGTCCTTTTTGGGCAGGGGGTGGGCAGCAAGAGGGAAAAGTTAAACCAATGGGTAGTCCAGGCTAGGAATATTGGCATTATTTCCTCCACTGATCTAGGGGAATCCACCTACAGACTGGTTGTTCTGCAGAAAAATAATTGAGAATGAGACCAGGAATCCTGTTGTCTAAGCCTAGGGCAGGATGAGGCTTACCTAGTAACTGATGATGCCAGGCTGAGGCACTCTGCGATTTGTCTCTACATCTGTCCCCGCCTACCTGGCCAATCTGACCAGGCTCAGTTTGGGACACGGGACTCCGATGAGCTGGTGGGAACAGGTCTAGTGTCTGGGGGCTGGGTAGCACCAAATCGTTGATCTAGTGGGGATCTAGGGGCCAGGGCAATACCATATTCAGCTTAGTGTCTGGAGATCATCTACCAAGGCTGGGGCTTCTGGGACAGGCGGGGACCCAAGGCCCCTGGAAGAGTTGGTCCAGGGGACTGGACCAGCGGCGTCTTCACGGAACAGAGCATGGCCACACTCCTGCCACTGCTGCTGGGCCTCAGCCTGGGCTGCATAGGAGCAGGTAAGGACATTCCTTCCTGGACCTTCCCTGCCTTTTACTCCTGCTTTGGGGTAAGGATGCTCAGTTTTGTTATTGGATTTGGATACCCCAGACTAGTTTGTCTCCCTATAGCACGTTGTACTCTACCTTTGTGGCAATTTTAATAGTAATTAAGCTGTATGATTATTTGTGTGATAGATATCCCCTGCTGGAATACAGGCAAGGACAACGTCCGTCTTGTTCATGGCTGCATCCCGCTCCTAGCACGGTGGCTGGCACGCAGCAGGTGCTTCATAAATTTGTGCAGACTGAATGTTTAATAATATTCCCAGCACAGAACAAGACTGACTCTTTCCTTTGGCCCTTTTTCTCTCTCAATAATTTGCCCCACTGAAGGTCTGGGTTCTGGGTAAATTGTCACATTTAAACGTGCAAATAATCCTGTCTCTGTACCTAGTGTCACATAAAGAGGAAACCAGGTCTATAAACTTCTCTGCTACTACCATCTACTCCCTAAAATTGGGCTCTCACAGACTCCCGTGTGTGAGCTTGGCCAGCAGATGCTGCTGGAGTTGGAAAATAATCTGTGTCAGACTAACTGGATGTAACGAAGGTCGGGGCTCCCCGCTGAACATAGGGAAACCAATTTCTTTTCTTTTCTTTTTCCTTTTTTTTTTTTTTTTTTTTTTTTTTTGAGACAGAGTTTCCCAGGCTAGAGTGTCAGCTTAGCTCACAGCAACCTCAAACTCCTGGGCTCAAGCAATCCTCCTGCCTCAGCCTCCCGAGTAGCTGGGACTACAGGCATGTGCCACCATGCCCGGCTAATTTTTTCTATATATTTTTAGTTGTCCAGCTAATTTGTTTCTATTTATAGTAGAGACAGGGTCTCACTCTTGCTCAGGCTGGTCTTGAACTCCTGACTTCGAGCAATCCTCTCCCGCCTCGGCCTCCCAGAGTGCTAGGATTACAGGCGTGAGCCACCATGCCCGGCCCAATTTTTTTTTTTTTTTCCTATATGCTCTCACTTAACACTTCTTTGACCAGATATGTGGGTTTTTTCCTCTATACTGACCAATTCTCCTATACTGGCTGTGTATCCTGCAATTCAATTCAATTCAATTGTGACACTAACTGGAGTTAGCACAGACCCCACAGGTGCAGGGCTCAGTTTCACAAGCCAGTTTCCAGACACCAATCACAAGTAGCAGGTCCCCGATTATCCACAACTCTGTTCCACTTGGCTACAAATTAGAGGTTCCTACGACCCCCTTGTTGGGTTTGATAATTTGCTAGAGAAGCTCATTGAAACCAGGAAAACAGCTTACTTACTATTGCCCATTTATTATAAAGGATGTTTTAGTTTATTTTAATTGGCAAATAATAAATGTACATATTCATGGGATAGATAGTGTTTGGATCCATATAATGTACGGTGATCAGATCAGGGTAATTAGCATATCCATCATCTCAAATGTTTATCATTTCTTTGTGTTGGGAACATTCAATGTCCTTCTAGCTATTTGAAACTATATAATATACTATTGTGAACTATGGTCATCCTACAGTGGTAGAAAACACTAGAATTTATTTCTCCTATCTAGCTATAATTTTGTATCCTTTAACAACGAATATTTTAAAGCAGCAGTCCCCAACTTTTTCGGCACCAGGGACTGGTTTCATGGAAGATAATTTTTCCATGGATGGGGTGGGGGTGGGCGTGTGGCAGAGCTCTGCGGCCCAGGCCCTAACAGGCCAAGGACTCGTTGGGGACTGCAGTTTCAAAGGATATAAATGAACAGCCAGATAAAGTTCACAGGGCGAGGTCTGGAAGAGTGTCCATTGCAGGAGCTTCTGCCCCCGTGGAGTTGGGGTACCCCACTCTCCTGGCAGGTGGATATATTCACCAACTGAGATGGTCTCCAAATTCCACAATTTGGTGATTTTTATGGAGGCTTCATCACATAGGTGTGATCTGTTATTAATTCAATCTCCCCTACATATGCTGGGGAATTGGACTAAAGTTTCCAGGCTCCTAACCATGGCTCGGTCTTTCTGGTGACCAGCGCTCATCCAGGAGCCCGCTAAGAGTCACCTCATTAGAACAAAAGACACTCCTATTATCCAGGAAATTCCAAGGGATTAGGAGCTCTGCATCAGGAACCAGGGGCAAAGACCAAATATGAGAACAAAAACAAAAGATGCACATGGCATCCCTATCACTCAGGAAATTATAGGGTTTTAGGAGCTCCTAAATATATATACATTTATTTTATGTATGTGTGTATATGTGTATTTATCTATTTATGTCACAACAGCAAAGGACAGTGACTTGCTCTCCCTTCCTTGGCTCCTCTAGGTGGCTTTGTGGCCCATGTGGAAAGCACCTGTCTATTGGACGATGATGGGACTGCCCAGGATTTCACATATTGCATCTCCTTCAACAAGGATCTGCTGACCTGCTGGGATCAACAAGAGGAAAAAATGGCCCCCTGTGAATTTGGGGTGCTGAATGGCTTGGCCAGTTACCTGTCAGATTACCTCAACCAGCAAGGCACCCTGCTCCAGCGCTTGCGCAGTGGGCTCCAGGACTGCGCCACGCACACCCAGCCCTTCTGGGGGTCACTGACCCACAGGACACGTGAGGAGGGAGGGGTGCAGATGGGCGTCAGGAAGCACAGTTAGGAGAGGGGAGGCCAGGAGGAATCTTTAGCAGGCCGGGGGGTGAGATTTGGGCAGGAAAGAAGAGAAAATGTGTGGACCTGGAACATAGAAAGAGGGAGGGTTGAACCTCTAGGGGGACAAGGGGACAGGAGTAAAGGGGAGGTGGTGCTCAGGCAGTGAGGAGAGCGCGCAGAGGCCAGGGCGTCTCAGGATGCAGGCGCGAGTTCAACCAGGGCTGTGTCAGAGCAACCAACACAGCTTTCCCCAGGGTGTTTGTGAGTCTTCAGCCCCCATTGTCATATTCGGGATCTGGGCTGGACCTGGGCATGGAAATGTTTGCAAGTCGGGGATTAGGGTTCTCTCTCATCCTTACTCCCTGGCATTGAGAATGGCTTGAGGATCAAATAGACTTGAAGATCTCCTTAAGACAGAGTAGCATGTCTCAAGATGTGGTTTCTGAGCCACGTTTCTTGGAATTGCCTGGAGGACGCACTTGTAAAAAACGCAAGCCGTGGTACCACTCCAGGTCTGCCGAATGAAAGTATCTGGGGATGAAAGCTAGGGAATCTGCATTTTAACATAACTTGTTGGATTTTAATTTAAGATTTTGTTTGAAAAATACCAAAGCAGAGGCAAGAAGGAAGGCTACTGAGAAGAATAAACTAGTAAATGTGGCAGTATTAACAATCTCATTTTTTGGACTACATTAATTCCAAGCTTGTTTCCTTAAATTATGTGAAAAGAAAAGGCTTTATGTAGCAAATTAATTTGTTAAAAAAGATTTGGGGGAAAATTCTTTTCTACCTTTTCAAATAACAATTTATAACTCTGGATCACTCTTAGTTTATGTACTTTCAAGCTTATGTACTTGAAATAAATACAACTTCTGAAACAGCTTACAGTTCAGATATGGCTTTTATTATACTAATTGTGATCAAACCTAATTTTGGAGGAGGAAAGGAAGAAGGGGCAATGAAGGAAGGAGAGAGAAGAAAGAGGGAACACAGGAGTGAATCTAACTCCTGCCTTTCAAATGGCAGCTCGGCAGGAGGGAGGGGGAGGGGAGTAAGTCGACAAAAATCTATGGAGAGTTGAAATAGGAAAGAAACCAGGTTGGAGAAGAAGCCAGAATGTTACCCTCCTTCCTGAACAAGTTTTGTCTCCTATGCAGGGCCACCAACCGTGCAGGTAGCCCAAACCACTCCTTTTAACACGAGGGAGCCTGTGATGCTGGCCTGCTACGTGTGGGGCTTCTATCCAGCAGATGTGACCATCACCTGGAGGAAGAATGGGCAGCCCGTCACCCCCCACAACAGTGCCCAGAAGACTTCCCAGCCCAATGGAGACTGGACATATCAGACCCTGTCCCACTTAGCTCTGACCCCCTCTTACGGGGACACCTACACCTGTGTAGTGGAGCACGTCGGGGCTCCTGAGCCCATCCTTCAGGACTGGAGTACGTGTGTGGCAAGTAGAGGGAAGTAGGTAGAGCAGGGGGAGTGAGATGTGGACAGATACATGGCGCATGTTAGAGAGGGAGGTGCTGAAACAGGGAGTGAGTCCAGAGGAACCCACGGAGGGTTTAGGACCGGAAATGGGGCAATAGGATAAAGGAATAGAAATAATTAGTCATTGTTATTGTTGCTATCGTGCTGTGGTTGATGTTGCTGTGTTTGTGTTTGAGGGTGGGAAGGGAGAGTGATTGTCCTGAAAGAGGATGTAGGCAGGGCACGGTGGCTCACCACTGTAATCTTAGCACTTTGGGAGGCTGAGGCAGGAGGATTGCTTGAGGCCAGGAGTTCAAGACCAGCCTGAGCAAGAGCGAGACCTCATCTCTACACAAACTAAAAAAAAAAAAAGAAAGAAAAAAAATCAGTCAGGTGCAGTGGTACTCACTCATAGTCCCCAGCTACTCAGGAGGCTGAGGCAGTAGAATCCTTTGAGTCCAGGAGTTTGAGACTATGGTGAGCTGTGATCATGTCACTGCACTCTAGCCTGGGCAACACAGTGAGATCTTGTCTCTCTAAAAAAAAAAAAAAAAAAGATATAGACTTGGTAACCATATTTTCAGAACCCCAAATTATAATAGACTTTTCTAGGCTCCTTATATTTCAACTCTTCTGCTGTTCTGGTGTCAGGTCAGGAATGGGAGTTGAAGAAGTGGTGATGGTGGAAGAGGAAGGGGGACTTCTCTCAGTGTGGGGCAGTGCTGCATTTGGGCTGCCCTATCAAGCATAAGGGACAGCAAAGCCACAGCTGGTAGACACTTCGGCGTGCATGCTTGGGGGCTAATGGATAAAGAATTGGTTACCACTGTTTGAACGCAGGATTGAGAATAGTTTAAGGTAATGAGAGAAGTTGCACACAAATTTTGGGATTCTTGGCAAAGAGAAGAGAAAGAAATGAGGAAGAGGAAGGGTGTCTACAAAGGGCCGGGGACCGGATTTTCGGGTTGGCCCTTGGGCTTGGCTTCCCCTTTTGGGGGTGTTTTTTTTGCGGGGCGGGGGGGGGGGCTTGGGGTTCGGGGGGGGGATTTCCCTTTTTCCTTTGGGTTTTCTTGGGGAAGTTTTCTTACAGGGTGCACGAGAACTTTTCTTTGGTGATGGAGTGTTCATTTTATCACGGGAAAAGAATCTGTGGGACATGATTCAGAAGAGGACCAGCTCCAGGAAGTGTGGGGGCTGTGGAGTGGAATGGAGACAAGCTCTGAAAGGACACATGGGGAATCTAGACGTAGAAGACATACAAGTACTAGGATAACTCACAGAATGAAGCCACTGGAGGTTAGGAAAGGTGGACAGATTTTAATAGGAAACTGCTCAACTGGAGCAAGTAAGGGAGCAAACCCTGTCTCCATGGGGGCAATGGAGAGGGGAATGAGGAGCCCTTCATCCTGGAGAGGGTAAGGAAGGAAAGAGGATGTCTTGAGAGGCCCCACTGTATTGGAGAGGACCTGGAAGCTGGGGAGGTGGGTTCCCCAGGCTTACTCTAGGAGTAGAGGTTTGGGAAGGGCCAGTTCCTTGAGAGTGGGTGGTGTGAGCTAGACGCTTGGAGCTGGGATAAAGGACTTTTGAACCTGCTGGGAGGAGGTTGCAATAAATTCGGTTTGATTGGTTCTAGTAAATTCCTGTTTTTTGCAGCACCTGTGCTGTCCCCCATGCAGACAGTGAAGGTTTCCGTGTCTGCAGTGACTCTGGGCCTGGGCCTCATCATCTTCTCTCTTGGTTTGATCAGCTGGAGGAGGGCTGCCTCCTCTAGTGAGTGACCCTCTGAACTTCCATCCCCACCGCTGCTCCCAGTCTCTGCTTACTTGCTGTTTGTGACTGACGCGCTCATTCCTACCCCATTTGCTGTGAATATTGCTGGATACTTTTATCTGCAAAGACTGGGCTAATCAAGTGTTTTTCTCTCTTAGGCTATATTCCTCTCCCTGGGTCCAGTTATCCAGAAGGTAATACCTCTGTTGATCTGTTTGCCTACTGGCCCTTTGGTGGGGGTGGCAGTTAGAGTGGGTCAATGTTGGGTTCAGCTAATGGTGCTTGTAGCAGGGATGCGCTTCCACGTTTGATGAGCACTTAGCCAAGGGCATGATTTAAGCTGCCAGTGTTATGATTAGGAGCAGGAAAGAGGAGAGCACACATCCTTGTCTTCTACCCAGCAGCATATCTATGGGGAGGAAGCTGAAGGTGGTTTCTTTGTATTAGTTGTAGGTGACCTAGAATTTTCAATATCACTGTATTAAGGGCTCTGGCATGGGATGGTTACAAACGATGGGGTCAAGTTGTGTTGAAGCCTCATTATCTTTTTATATCTTCTGCAGGACGGCACATTTCCTAGAGGCAGAATTCTACAATTTCCACTCTGAGTGAGAAGGAGATGCAAACTCTAACTGATAATACCATGCCTCCCCAACCTCTTCAAAGCCCTGGCATTTTCCTCAATTCTATGGTTTCTCCATTCTTCTCTGAATTTCCCAGTCCCCCGTATACAAACCTTAGCAACTTGGGGAACTCATTCCTGGGAATATTCTGTAACCAAATTATTGTCCAAGGCTATATTTCTGAGGTGAATATAATCTGGGGAAGGGAATTATAGGCCCTCCTGGGGGCTTCAGTGTGCCACAGAGGGTAGTGAGTCACTGGTGACCATTTCTGAGAAATAAACTCTGGTGGAAATGAGTGTTTCTTTGATGTCTTTTTCCTGTGGCCCTGGGAAGGGAGTATGGGCAGAGAAGGAAGGAGCAGGGATTGATTTTCTCCTACTTGAGTGGAGGGGTCCGTGCCTCCTCCCCTTTTCCCATCTAGACAAGACAGAATTTGGGGCAGTTTTCTGATTTACAATTTATAAGAAGAAATTAAACTGTGGTGAGGAGGAGTCACAGAGTAAGGAAGGGGATTAACAGTTTACTCACCTCACAGGGGATCTTCTGAGGATTAAAAGAGTTCGTACTCGCAAGTGGCCAGGAACACTGCCTGGCACGTGCAGAGCCTGCACTACCGTCAGCATTATCAGGTAGTCAATTTGGGGGGCGGGCGTTGTACCAGGTGCATCGTTTCATTTGAGCCTCATCGCAACTGTGAGGCAGACCCCTCAGATAGTCGGGATTCAGATTTGAATTCTAGAAAGTTATTCCTTCCCTGCGTTGAGTGGGAAAGAGCCCACAGCTCCAGTGCTTATCATGCCCTGAGTGCTAGGCTGGGTGCTTTGTATTTGTATCTCCTTCTCTTCTCACAATAACCCTATAGGACTGCGGCCCCAGCCCCGTCCGGCCTGTTAGGGACGGCCACAGAGCTCCGTTCCCCACCCCCACTTCCCACCCCCATCCCCAGAAAAACTGTCTCCCACGAACTCAGGCCGGGCACAGCAGAGGTGACGGCGGGGAGAGGGCGAGGCTTCCGCATCTACTGCGGCCCCCGCGGCTCGCCGCCTGAGCTCCGCCTCCAGCTCCGGAAACCCTCCCAGGAAACCCGTCCCTGCTGCCAAACAGGTTGGGTCCTGCTGCCGCACAGGATGTTTCTCTGCCCGAGCTGGCAGTAAGTCACTTGTTTTATTCTGAGCCCCGCTGCTGGGGGCGCACATCTCTTCAGGGCCGCCCCTCCTTCCCCTCTGGCCGAGCGCAGGGGCCCGCGAGTCGGCTCGCGTCGCACGCCGCGCCGCCGGGACAGCCTGCCGGCTGTGAGCGGCGACGCCTGCTGGGCACCGGAAGCGGCGCTGCGGACCGTTTTGGGTTAGAGCTGGGTGGCGGCTGAGGGTCGGGAAAAGAAAGCGGAGTGAGGACCAGTGCTGAGGGAGCCTGGCCTGACCGGGGGTCGCGGAAGGAGACGAGGGCCGTCGCGCACGTCGGTGTGCGGGCATCGGTGTGGCACGCAGGTCGGGGCTGGCGAGCGGGCCGGGGGGAGGGCCGGCTGCGTGGAGCCTCCCTGCGGGCCTCCCTGCGGGCCGGCCGGCCGGTGTGCGTGTGAGGTCGCAGGCCCGGAGCGTTCCGTCCCCGCTGCGGCTGCGCCAGGCCGGCGGGGGAGTGCGGGCCGCTCTCCTCGTAGCCCTTGGTCAGAGCAGGTGCTCGGGGTTGTCCCATGAAGGAACTGATCGGCAGCGCTTCTGTGGCGCCGCCAGTAGGATCCTTGGCGTGAGGGCCTCGCTTCTGGGAGGGGTCTGTGGAAGAAGTCGGCGGGAGGGAAGTGCTCGTGCACTCCCAGTGGGCATTCTCCAGCAGGTTTCCCGACTGCGGGAGGAAGCAGAGTGCGGTCTGTGTGCTGGGGACGCTGGCTGGTGAATGAAGGCTCAAAATTAATCTCTACAGATTGTATCAGTTTTACGTTTCATTTTGGTTTTTCTATTTACTGTTCCTGTTTTTGTTTTTATTTGACAAAGAAAATCCTTTTGAAATTCTAGTCCAGTCCCGGGATGGGGCTTTGGGTCTTGTCTACAGCAGGGCCGTTTTGAAGGAGAAGCTGCACGCCTGAAGGACCTGGTTCTGGCCACAGCAGTGGGACTCAGAGTGACAAGACCCCAGGGAAGGAAGGAGAGAGTCAGCCAACTGGACAGCTTCCAGCTCCCCCTCCAGTGGTGCCAGTGCAGGCTTTTCTCTGCCCTAACTTACTGGGTTTTGGTTCTTATAGAGAAGGCTGTTCCCTTCCAGGTGTGCAATAGGAAAAAGTAGTATGTCGCTCTCCTGGGATCCAGGAAGCCAAATTGCTGTAGGTAGAAAAGGGAGAACATTTGTCAGTACATGGGGGAATGATAGGTGCCTGGAAGGAAGATAGAGGAGGAGTAATGGTGGACCAACTCCAGGATTGTGCGAAGAAAGTGGAATGCCAAACGTAATGGGTTGCCAAAATGAGAGGGGTGTGTGTGTGCATTCCTTGCACTGTGTAAGAGAGAAGGAAATGTATTGATCCCGGATTTGAGGTTCTTCTTTTGACCATTAAAGACAACCGGAATAAAACTCAAACAGTGGAAGGGGGTACGCTTGGTGTTCCTTTCCTGAGGCACAGCATGCTTCTGGGTTCCAGGTTCTTTTTGCCTCCCTACCATGCACACATTTATGTGAAAGAAATAGACAAGAATTGACATTTAATCTCAATGTCTATGGGAATTGTTTTAAGACCCATTTTCTTTTTTCTTTTTTTGAGACAGAGTCTCACTCAGTCACCCGGGCTAGAGTGCCGTGGCGTCAGCCTAGCTCAACAGCAACTTCAAACTCCAGGACTCAAGTGATCCTTCTGCCTCAGCATCCCAAGCAGCTGGGACTATAGGCTCGTGCCACCATGCCCGGCTAATTTTTTCTATTTTTAGTAGAGATGGGGTCTCACTCTTGCTTAGGCTGGTCTCAAACTCCTGAGCTCAAGCGACCCAGCCGCCTCAGCCTCTAAGAGCGCTAGGATTACAGGCGTGAGCCACCACGCCCGTCCTAGACCCATTTTCTAAAGTAATTCTGTTTCTGAAGTAAAATTGGGCAAATCAGATGACAAAAGAGGGTGGGGTCCCCACCCTCACTTTGCTTTTGGCTGGAGTGCCTGTTATTCTCAAGAGCCCTCAAACTGCCATGAAGCAAGGCATGAGGGACTCCTCCTTGGAGCTTTCTGCCATTCCTTGGACAGACCAGTCCCTAGGGGCTGCAGAGAGTGGAGGGGCCCCAAACACACAGAGATTGCTCCCAGATGGGGGGTGCTCATTGGCTCACTAGACCCTTCCTCTTACATTGCATATGAGGCTTCCAAGAGCCCCTGGCCAGGCTGGTCTGGAGCAGGGAATGAAGAAATGGTATTTATTGTATCACAGTCTCAACAGAAAACAGATGGCACATTCAAAATAAGATAGTTCAAAGAGAGTTTATTTATAAGGAAGTATTTAAAAAGAAGTGGGTGAAGGATAGTACAGTAACCTGGAGCTAGCAGCAGCTGAGCTGTTACTACCTGAAGGTCCAAAGAGGGCAGGGACAGGAGTTATCAGGACTCAGTAGAGCACGCTCCTGTAGAGCTGCCCCCTAGCCAGGAGCAGTGCCCTTCAGTCAAGGAACCCAGCAGCCCTAGGTGACCTTGTGGGGAGGGAGCCAAGGGTTTAGGAACCCTGACCTCACTCCCCTCCTCCTGCTGCTCTCAGGCTGAGGTTGGAAGCAAGAGGAAGCCATGGGGAACAAGAGCTGCTCCTCCACATACGGGGCAGCACCCTGGGCAGACCCCAGGGTGGAGAAGTGTAGAGGGCGGTCTGGAAGGACAGATGGAGGATAACAGGCACATCAACAGGAAGGAAAGAAATCAATGCTGTGGATTGGGGAGAGGTGCGAAATTTGGACTTCCTTTTGCCTTGGACAGTGACAAAAACTTAGTAGGAAGAGAAAACTAAGTTTGTGGTTTCCTGCCGGGGAAGTTGGGAAAATATGCACTTCTAGTTCTGCCTGCCTCACTTGAATTTTGATTGAGGTTATACTGAATTTATAGAGAAATTTGGGTTTAATTAATTTCTTCTTATTGTTAAGTCATCCCAGGCAAAAGCTGAGAATATTTCCTCTTTTATTCAAATCATCTTGTTTGCTCTTTTTTCTATTTTGAGACAGAGTCTCACTCTGTTGCCCCAGGTAGAGTGTAGTGGCGTGATCACAGCTCACCACAACCTGGACTCCTGGGCTCAAGCGACCGTCTGGCCTCAGCCTCCCCTGTAGCTGGGACTACAGGTGTGCCACCATGCCCGCATAATTTTTTCTGTTTTTAGTAGAGATGGGGTCTCGCTCCTGCTCAGGCTGGTCTCCTGACCTCAAGTGATCTTCCCGCCTCTACCTACAGAGAGCTAGGATTATAGGCATAAGCCAACCTTGTTTGTTTTTGTAATAAAAATTCTTCTATACAATAAGCTGGGAAGATTTTGTTATTTTATTCTATTTTCTGAAACAATATATATAAATATCTTTTCAAAGGTCAGCTTTTGTTTTCATTCTCTTTTATTGCTTTTAGTTCTCTATTTCATTAATCTCTATTCTTATCTTTATTCTTTCTTTCTATCTTTCTTTCTTTCTTTCTTTCTTTTTTTTTTTTGAGACAGAGTCCACTTTGTTGCACAGGTTAGAGTGCCATGGCGTCAGCCTAGCTCACAGCAACCTCAAACTCCTGGGCTCAAGCGATCCTTCTGCCTCAGCCTCCTGAGTAGCTAGGACTACATATACACCACCATGCCCGGCTAATATATATGTATGTATATGTTTAGTTTTCCAACTAATTTCATTCTATTTTTTTTAGTAGAGATGGGGTCTCACTCTTGCTCAGGCTAGTCTTGAACTCCTGAGCGTGAGCCACCATGCTCGGCCTATTCTTTCTTTCTTTCTTTGGGTTTACTCTGTTCCTCTTTCCTAACTTTTGAGTTGAATGCTTAGCTCATTTGAATTTAACTTTTTTTTTGTTTCCTGATAAGTGTATTTAAAGGTAAAAAATTTCCCTCTAAGTTCAGCTTTAATCATATCTAACACATTTTGATATGTAGTATTTTAATTTTTATTTAATTCTAAGTATTCTTTATGTTCTTTATTATATTTTTAACTCAAAGGTTATTTATGAGACTTAAAATTTTTTATTTTGAAGCAATTTCAAACTTACACAAAAGTTACAAGAATAGTTCAAATAATTCTTATATACACCTATCCAAATTCAACAATTTTTAACATTTTGCCATATTTGCTTTCTTTTTCT